CTCAATATCAGAACAAAGAAAGAACACTGGAAATTGCAAAAGAGAAAAGACAGGTCACATATAAAGGCAAATCCATTAGAATAACAGAAGATTTCTCAACACAAAGTTTAAATAAAAGAAAGTCATGGATGGACATATTTCAGGCCCTGAAAGAAAACACCTGTCAACCTAGAGTAGTCTATCCAACAAATCTATCCTTTCTAATTGAAGGAGAAATGAAAACCTTTCACAACAAGCAAAAATTAAAGGAATACATGATCACCAAACCAGAAATGCACAAAATACTTAAAGAATTCTTATACACAGAAGAAATAAAATTCAGACAGGAAGATGCAAGAAAGCATAAGCCCTTTTGATCAGGCAGACTAGTAAACAAGGACTAGGGCAAAAGTAAATGGGAAATAAAAATAACTGGAAACACTACACACCACTCAATACTGATGTTATAATCTCAACACCCCAATCAAAAGATGGTTAAAAAAAGACCCAACCATATGTTGCTTGCAAGAGCACATCTCAGTGAGAGAAACAAAAACCAGCTCAGAGTCAAAGGGTGGAAAAAGGTTTTCCAAGCAAATGGACCCTATAAACAGGCAGGAGTAGCTACACTTATATCTGGCAAAATAGATTTCAGACTAAAATCAGTAATAAGAAACATTGAAGGTCACTTTTTATGACTTAAAAGAATAATTCATCAAGAAGAAATATCAATTCTTAACATATGGGCCAAATGTAAGGGCACCAAACTACCTTAAAAAACACTAATGGATTTAAAAACACAGATAAACCCCACAACAGCAATAGTGGCAGACCTGAATACCCCATTGTCACCAATAGATAGGTGGTCTAGACAAAAAAAATACAAAGAAATTTCAGAAATACTACACACATAAGACAAAATAGACATAATGGACATTAACAGAGTATTTTATAGAACTACCACAGAATACACATAAGTTTCAGCAGTTCATGGAACTCTACAAAATAGATGATGTTTTAGGACACAAAACAAGTCTCAACAAGTTTAACAAAATTGAAATAACCCTAAATAAAACTAGAACTCAGCAACAAAAGAAACCAAATAAAATACTCAAACACATGAGAACTGAACAACACCCTGCTTAATGGGTCATGAAGAAATAAGAGAAGAAATCAAAGAGTTCCTAGAATCTTAAGAAAAAAGAAAATATACCTTACCAGAGTCTATGGGACACAGTAAAGACTGTACTAAGGGGAAAATATATAGCTGTAAGTCCTTATTTTTAAAAACAAACTAATGCTGCACCTTAAGCTTCTAGAAGAACAAAAACAAGCCAAGCCCCAAACTACCAGGCAGAGAGAAATAATAAAGATTGGGGTTGAGATCAATGAGATAAAGAAAAAAACTATACAAAGAATCAATGAAACAAAAAGTTGCTTCTTTGATAAGATTGATAAACTCTTAGCCAGCATGACAAAATGCAGGAAGAAAAAGACCCAAATTAATAAAATAAAAGATGAAAAAGAGGACATAACCAAAAATACTAACAAAATCAAGAATCATTAAGGAATACTTGGAAAACTTACATTCACATAAACTGAAAATTCTAGAAGAAATGGATAAATTGTTGGATGCTTATAACCAACAAAACTTGAAGCAAGAAGATATTAACCATTCAAATAGACATAAAACAAGCAATGAGGTGGAAGTAGTAGTAAAGAGCATCCTTACAAAAAAGAGCCCAGTGCCTGGTGGACTCATGGCTGAATTTTATCAGACCTTAAAGAAGAACTAATACCAATACTCCTCAAACTTTTCCAGGAAATAGAAAGGTAAGGAACAATATGAAACTCATTCCATGAAGCCACTAGTACACTCATTCCAAAACCCAATAATGATGTGACAAAAAATGAGAATTACAGAATATCTTTCATGAATATAGAATAAAAAATTCTGACTGAAATACTAGCAAATCTAATTCAACAATATATCAAGAAGATCATACAGCAGAACTAAATTGGTTTCATTCCAGGGATGCAAGGATGGATCAACATATTTAAATCTATAAATGTAATGCAGTATATAAACAGAACCAAGGACAAAATGCACATGATCTTCTCAATAGATTCCAAAAAATCTTTTGACAAAGTTCAACACCCATGGATGTCCCAAGATAAAACCCATGAAGAAACTACCAATAGAAGGAATGTTCTTCAGCTTAATGAAGGATACATATCACACACTCATAGCCAACATTATATGAATGGAGAACAATTGAAACTATTCCCACTATAGTCAGGAATGAGAAAGGCATACTCGTTTTCCCCACTCTTATTCAATATAGTTTTGGAATTCTTAGCCAGAGCAATAAGACAAGAGCAAGAAATAAAAGGGATTCAAATAGGGAAAGAAGTTAAATTATCCTATTTGTAGATGACATGTTCTATACATAAAGGACCCTAAAAACTCCACCAAAAAACACTTAGAAATCATAACCTCTTTAGGCAAAGTAGCAGGATATAAAACTAATATACAGAAATCAGTAGCCTTCTTGTATACTAACATTGAACAGACTGAGAAAGAAATCACAGAAACAATCCCATTTACAACAGCCTTGAAAATAAAGAACCTTGGAATAAATTTAATGAAGGAAACCAAAGAACTTTTCAATGAAAACTATAAGCCACTGAAGAGAGAAACCAAAGAAGGTATCAGAATATGGAAAGTTCTCCCATGCTTCTGGATTGGTAGACTCAACATTGTGAAAATGGCCATACTACCAAAAGCAATCTACAAGTTCAGTGCAATCCCTCTCAACATACCAGTGACATTATTCAGAGAGAAAGAGAAATCAATTCTAAAATTCATGTGGAAACACAAAAGACCTTGAATACGCAAATCAATTGTGAGCAAAAAGTCCAGTGCTGAATGTATCACGATGTCTGATTTCAAACTACACTACAGAACTGTAACAATAAAAACAGCATGGTATTAGCACAAAAACAGACAGGAAGACCAATGGATCAGAATAGAAGATGCAAATATAAACCCACACCACTACAGCCAACTGATCTTCAAAAAAGGAGCCCAAAACACATGATGGAGAAAAGACAGCCTTTCAACAACTGTTGCGGGGTAAACTGGTTATCCACATGAAGAAGACTGAAACTGGATTCCTATCTCTCACCCTGTACGAATATCAATTCAAAGTAAATCAAAGACTGTAATATAAAGCCTGAAACTTTGAAACAATTGCAGGAAGTAGTAGGAAATACACTAGAACACAATAAACATAGAGATCAACTTCCTAAATAGAATTCTAATGGCTCATCATCTAAGAGAAAGAATGCACAAATGGGACTGCATGAAACTAAGCAGCTTTTGCACAGCAAAATAAACAGCCACTAGGTTAAGAGACTTTTCAAAGAATGGGAAAAAATCTTTGCCAACTATTTATCCTATAAGGGATTAATATCCAGAATCTATAGGGAACTCAAGAAACTCAACCCCCAAAGAATCAACATCCCAATGAAGAAATGGGCACATGAATTGAAGGGAATTTTCAAAGGATGAGGTACAAATACCTAGTAAATACATGAAGACTTATTCAACTTCCCTGGCTATAAAAGAAATGCAAGTCAATACTACACTAAGATTTCATCTCGCCAAAGTGAGAATAGCCATGTTCAAGAGCAAACACTACATCAAATGTTGGTGAGGATGCAGTGAAACAGGAATGGTTATACACTGTTGGTGGGAATGCAAATTAGTACAACCATTCTGGAATGTGGTATGGAGATTCCTCAAAAAATTAAAAACAGGGCTGACATATTATCCACTTCTGGGCATATACTCAAAGGATTAGACTCAGAAAGATAAAGGCCACATTTTTCTTTTATATGTAGAAGTCATATCCAAATGATAAACATGTACACAAAACAAAATATAATCTTATACAAATGTATATGCAGAATACGTTTGTAATAGTAGAACTACTCTATGGAACTTAGGGAAAGTGAGAAAGGAAAAAGTGATGGAGCATCAACAATATTGCAATACATAACATTTGAAAAGGTAGAGAATATAACAATATAAATTGAAAGCTGTTGAAAATGTGAAGTGGGAGAAAAGCAGTAAATAATGGAAGAGGTTGAATGGACCAAAGTAAAGTACACTCACAGCAGGGGTACATTGAGAAATCCCTTAGGACGTAGATTTACAAATTAATAATGAAAGAGAGTAGTGTAAAATAGATGCATTGTGAGGGGATACATGTAGGCGGGGGGGAGCACCAGTGAAGGAAGGAGAGTAAGGTGAGGGAATATGGTTGATGGACTTCATACACTTATATGAAACAGAGCAATAAAAACTCTTGCAATTGCTTAAGTGGGAAGAGAAGGGGATCAGGGGAAAGATGGTGGGGGCAATCTAACCAATGTGCAATATAAGCCTATTTGGAATTGTCACATTGAATCCTCCCTGTACAATGAATATATCCTAATAAAAAAATCAAAACCAAAAACCCTTTGCAAATAAATATTTTATAGAATAGTATAAAGTAACAATTAGTGGAATTAAAAGGATAAGCACATATGTTCATTACAGCTGGAGAATTAAACATTCCATGATCTCAAGCTGTTACAAAACAAATAAAATAGTAATGATATAGGATTACATAAGCACTGTAATGCTCCAAAATTGTAGATATACATATTTGCCATGCTCCTGCTGGTGGGACATTGCTTAGGCTATACAGCTCCAGCAGCTGTGTGAAATTGTCTGACTGCAGGACCATAGAGAGGTCACCTGGATGTGTCAGAAGCAGGAAACTGAGTCCTTGACCTTTGAGGATGTTGCTTTGAGCTTCACCCTGGAAGAATGGGGCTGTTTAGATCTTCCCAAAAGAAGCTCTACAGAGAAGTGATGCTAGAAACTTACAGCAACCTGTCCTACATAGATCTTACAAACAAAAGAAGAAAATGAAAACATTGAACAGGCCTTCAGGAATCCCAGAAGAAATATGAGACCTGAAGTGTTAGAGAGACTCAAGGAACATAAAGTATGTATTCAATGTGGAGAATCCTTTCGACACTCTCCAGAGAGTGTAAGCAAGGAAACTCTGCTTAGAACAGCACCATGTAAAAGCATTATATGTGATGCTTATGGGAAAACCTTCACTGATGGCAAGGCTCTTCTAATCCATGAAAGGATACACAATGTAGTGAAATCTCATGGATGGAAAAAAGGTGGAAAAGGCTTCATTCCATCTGGTAACTTTCACATTCATGAAACTTCTCACATTAGTGAGAAACCTTGTGGATGTAAACAATGTGGGAAAGCCTACATGAGCTCTAGTAACCTTCATATTCATGAAAGAAGTCACAGTGGAGAAAAACCATATGGACATAAGCAGTGTGAGGAAGTCTTTACACAAGCCAGTTACCTTCAAATGCATGAAACAACTCACACTGGAGAGAAACCCTATGGATGTAACAAATGTGGGAAATTCTTCACTCATGCATGTTACCTTCATTATCATGAAAGAACTCACACTGCAGAGAAACCCTATAGATGTAAGGAATGTGGGAAAGCCTTTGCTCAAGGCTGTCATCTTCAGAGACATAGAAGAACTCACACTGGAGAGAAACCCTATGGATGTAAGCAATGTGGGAAAGCCTACACCTATTCAAGTACCTTTCTTATTCATAAAACAACTCACACTGGAGAAAAACCGTATGGAAAACCTATTAATGTAAGCAATGTGGGAAAGCCTTCACTCAACTAACTCACCTTCAAGCACATAGATGAACTCACACACAAGCAAAACCTTATGGATGTATGCAATGTGAGAAATCCTTCACTCATTACAGTCACCTTTGAAGCCATAAAAGAACTCACACTGAAGACAAACATTATGGGTGTAACCAATGTGGCAAAAGTGCTTATATCCCCCACTACTCTTAAAAGACATGAAGGTACTTAAACTAGAGAGAAAAGCTATGGATATGGCCAATTTCCAGTGACACTAACAAATGTGAACTCACTCTGTAGAGAAACTCTATGAATGTAAGGAATGAGAGACAACCTACACCTTATCCAGTATCCTTCATATTCATCAAAGAATGGAACCATGACAAACCCAGTGGGTGTAAGCAATGTGGAAAGCCTTCCTTAGTTCTAGTACCCTTCATGTACCTGAAAAAATTCATTATGTGAATAAACAATACAGTCATGTCAAATATAACAAAACATTCACATATCCCAGTCTTAATGAACAACATGAGTGAACTCAGAAACACTATCATTATAAGTAAAGTAGGCAAGCCTTCACCTTGCACTATTCTTCTTTGACATGACACAATTCACATTGTAGCACAATGCTATACATGTGTGTAATGTGGCTAAGCCTTCACACATTGCAGTGCTCCTTCAAAACATACAAAATTAAAATATGTATTGAAGTAATGAGGGAGAGCCTTCACTTATCCTGCTTCCTTTTACTATAATGAAGGAACTCCATTCTTACACTCATAATACTGCCCAGTTTATATAAACTTTGTTAGCAAAAGCATGCCACGTCACCTGCTTTCCTCCAGAGATATGATGAAAGATGGTATGAAGTGAAAACTTCACTCATGTCTTATTGCTTGCAGGGAAGGAACTCTACCTCCAAGCTTGCAGTCCATTTTCTCCTAGTTATTTTGGAGCAATGGTCTGTGAACTACTTGCTCAGGCTGACCTCCAACCATGGTCACCCTCTCAAGTCTCACCCTCTCAAGTACAGGGAATAAAGACCCAAGCCATTGGCAATAGCTTATATATTCTTAGAGATCAGTGGGATATGCATGTCTAAATTATTTCTCCAGAAACAGTCTATTGTGCTTCTTATTCTAGTGCCATCCTATAAAGACAGCCACATGGGGGAAAGGAGTGGCTTAAGTATTTCTTTTATGTGGGAATGGAATTGGAACTCAGGGTCTCATGTTTGCTACCCAGAATTTTTACCACTTCAGCCACTTTGCCAGCCTTTTGTGTGTCTCTTTGATTGTGACTTTCAACATGCTCTATGTTTTATATTGAGATAGGGAGGCACTTAACTGGATATGTATAATATGCTGACTTTGAACTTAGGATGGTCCAACCTCTGTTTTCAAATGCTGGGATGAAAAGCATATGAAAAGACATTTGTGGAATGTGTTGAGACTTTATCTTTGTTGTTTGCCATTCCAATTTCCATATTGTCCAAGACATAGATAAGAATAGAAAGCATACTTTCAAGTAGAATCTGGATTTATCTTTGTCTCATTTTAAAGTGTTTGCTGTTTTGGCCACCATTGTATGTTACCTGTTCTGCCAAGAATCAATTTTCTCTTTACATTGAAATCCAAACAAAAAAAATTGTAGATATACATTACTTCAAGTTTTCATGGGAATATTACAAAAGCTGAACATAGCTGTATATCAAACATAAACAAAATATTTGAATGTCAGAAAGTATAATTTCTAACCACAGATTTATTAGCAGACAGATAACTAGAAAAATTAACACACTTTTACAAAATAACCAATATACTTCTATGTACAAAGTTAAAATAAAAGAAAAACAATGTAAATTACAAAATGTTTTAGCTTGAATGGTAGTAAAACCACACAACAAATTGAACCTGTCATAAATAATTTAGGTCGTGATAAGAAGGAAAACTATAGCTTTAAATGAATTATTTGAGATAGAAAAAAATGGATGAAAATCTATGTATTTCACTGAAAATGCTAAGAAAACTTCTACAAAGTAAAGCTAATTAAAGTAGAAGTAAATATTAATTGAAGAAAAGGTAACAGACATTTAATAACGAGCATCAACAAAATGCAAACTTCGTGTTTTGAAAATATTAATGAAGTTGATATGTGCCACGACTGATCAAGGAAAACAGAAAGAAAACACAAATGATCAGTATAGTGAAGGAAAGAGTGAACAATATTGTTAATAAATTTTTTGTTAATAAATTTTTCTGTTAAAAAATTTATAAATCTATGGTTAAATAGATACACTCTTGAAAACTACAGACCACTAAAATATTCAAGACATGGAAAGCACAAATAATTGCATCTGTTAAGGAAATATTGAGTCTGTTATTTACCTTCTTTGAACACCGAGACACAGAAGACTATCCTGTTAAATTTTTCCTAATTCTTAAGGCAAATGCCATACAAAAACATGATAATCTTTACATAGAAAATGTTCCTAATACATTCTCTGAGACAACTATAAAATACTAAAAATCTGACAGACATTACAAGAATGTTAAATACCTATATCCTCTATGAATATACATGGCAAATTCTGCAACATAGTAGTAGAAAATTTAACATAGCCATCTGTAAAAACATCATTAGTGTATTAGTTTATTCCAAGATGACACAGTTGGTAGAAACTACATTATTAATCATTTGAATTTACCATATTAACTGAATGTCATTATGTGATCACCTGAACAGCCTCACAAAAGAATAAAATAGTAAACAAAACAAATATCCGTTATTAGAGGGACTAACCGTTTAACAATGCAAGAAACGTGTGGTTGGCTGGATCAAGTTTTTCTCGCTTCCTTGTTATTACTGAACCTAACTGTGCCTAACTGGGTGGTGACAGGAGATGCAAAAATGACACAGGATTTACAGACAGACAGAAAGTTGGGGCCAGGTGTGTTGGGTGCTTGGATGGAGATGCACAGCAGCCTCATTACTTCTTTTCTCTATTATTCTCTTCATTCACTTTGCTTCTTTACCTTTATTATTTAAGGCCTTACTCCTTTACTATTCTTTAAAACCTTGCTTCTAAAGTCTTTCTTCTTTCTGTTTTTTAAAACTTCACTTCAAAAGTCTTCTTTTCTGTTCTTTAAAGTCTCTTTCCTTAGATTGCACTGTCCCTTGTTTTCTCTTAGTTTTTCTTTAGCGTATACTCTCTTAAAGTCTTTGCCCCCAGTCTTGCACTGTCCCATGTTCTCTCTTTAGCCTTCTTAAGGTCTCGGCCCTCAGACTTGCTAGCAATTCCCCTTTAGCAATTCTCCTTCAGCAATTGTTTTCCCTTCAGCAATTTCCCTTCAGCCACTCATTTTCACCCTTCAGCAATCTCCCTTCAGTACTTTCCCTTCAGCAATTCATTTTCCACCTTCACCAACCTCCCTCCAGCAATCCTCCTTTCCAAAAGCCTCCCACATCTGAAAAGCCAAAAGCCAAATGTCTCATTTCCTCCTTCAGCGAGTCTTTTATACCCAGTGGTAAGCAAGGAAGTGGAGCCGGGTTTTTAGAGGAGGGGCATGACATTATAACAGGAGAAACCTGTGTTAAACAACTTAGGAAAAGCAGCTGAGCTGCATCTCACCTTCTTGCTCTCTTCTGTAGCTAGGGCTATGCCAAATCTCAGCCTACAGAATATTTGACATAAACAGCTTCTCTGCATCTTATTCTCTCCCTATTCTGTGCCTGGGGCTGTACGGAACTCAGCCTACAGAACAATGAGTACAACTGTACCAATGTCCTCATAGGCTTCTCCTACTCCACTCTCCACAGTTGGCTTCATATTTTGCCATGAAATCTGACTAAGAAGCCAAGACTGTCTCCTTTCATACCTTCTACAAGCACTTTCCTGTGAATTGTAATTAGTACAAAATAGGCAAGGAAAAATAAGATAAACATTTATCCAGATTTGAATGGTAAAAAGAAATATTTGTTTCTATTATGTGCCATGATATTAAAATAAGAAAGAAAAATTATAATAATATATGCCCTTTTAGAGTTTTTATTTTTGACATGGTTAAATAAGATGATTTAACCATTTCTCTTCTATACAGCTAGTATCTTCCTTCCTTTGGGTCCTTCCTACTTCTTTTTATAATGTTTAGTGCTAATGTCTAAACAATCCAACTTTAAACTATTAGCAGTTCAATTAGAATATTTTCTAAGAGAAAATGATATCAAATCCTAATTTGCATACTGGTTTACTTATTTTAATTTTCAAAGCATCTTTATTGAATTCACTCAAATATTATTAAAACAAAGGATATTTTAATTGAGTTAAACATTCTTTCCATGCAACAATTTAGTGACTTTAACAAAAATGAAAATTATTAGTATATTATTTTAGCCCTTACATGGTTTAATAAATTAGTAAACTACAAGAGAAGATAATATCTTAACAAATGTTGTATTTACTAATACTTGTAATTTACTTACACCTTTTAGTGTTGTTAGGATTTGCTGGTATGAGTCCAATATTAAAAGCATGCAGAAGGATGTTTTTATTATTTGATTGCTTTATTGTTTGCCGTTAAGATCATCACATACATTAATACATGTACAGTTGGCTTTTGATTGGGACCATTTTTTTCCCAGAGGGGACAATTGCCAATATCTGGAGATATTTTTGATTATAACAACTGGGAATTGTTCTTGGAATCTAGTAGGTAACAGACCCAGGGATGCTGGTAAAAGCACTCAATGCACAAGACAATCACTCAGAACAATTTCCTTGTGTAAAATATCAATTCTGCTTAGGTTGAGAAATGCTGAATGA